TGGGTAATGTGATGTCGATTCTAGCCCTAGTCTGTTTTCGGTCTTGGTCTTGGTCTTGCCTTAGTGTGTCTTGGTCTTGGTCTTGGACTTGGTCTTGCTCTTGGTACCCTCAAGTCTCGGCAGTGTCTTGGTCTTGATACCCTCCGGTCTCGGCAATGTCTTGGTCTCGGTTTAGGCGGTCTTGACTACAACACTACTTTTTATACAATATATCATAATTTTCTCTTGGGTAGCCTGCTTGGTCTCAGTGTACATGTGTTTCGGTCATTTAAGGCAGCATTGTACAAATCATAGGCAGATGATAAATTACTGAAATACCGTGTAAAATTCTATAAGACCTTTGCACCTGGCTCATAGGGTAGTCTGTCATGGCTAATTACATCACAGTATTACTATATAAAGCTCTGGATTACCTAGGCAACTTCCTTCTGTGATGCTTAGTCAGTGGAAGGGACTGTCTTTGAACAACCAATGAGTCTGGCACATGGTTAATTTGTGCGGATCAACAGAACCTAATGCCTCTCACAATGAAAATAGTCTTTTTTCTATTGATGAATAAAAACTGGTATTACAGCCCTACACACTATCCAGTCCACCGATTCAACTGCATGTAGACTGCAATCTCATTTTAATTTTTTTTTTTAAACGCAATTGATTATTTTATGCTCAGGTGATATGAAACATCTGTGATTCTCACTCAATCAAGGGGAATTGGGCATATGACACAACCTGAAACTGCATCGCATGACAAAGCAGGAGTGCATCTTGGTAAGATATCTGAACCACAGCGGTCACCACTGGATCTGATGGACTAGCAGTTCTACTCCAAGGCTCTCCAAGATTGATATACAGAGTTTTTCTAAAAATTAAATCTGGTACCACTCTTAAAGAAAAAACACAATTTTTCACCATTAACTCACACTTACTACTTTAAATTTTCACAGTATCAAAGGTTGCAGTTCCCCTGCTGACAACGCCTAACCCATCCTCCCTCAAGTCAATGAAATCATTAGTACTAAGATGACATGTACTACTGTATAAGGGGGCATCTGACAAGTACAGGACACGTGTACTTAACTGGAATATCACAATTAGCTATTTGAAGTAAATGACTAATTAGGCCAGTGATTCAAAATTCAACTACAGACTCATATTTTAGCCAGTGAAATGTCATCATAACGGTCTTCTACTTTAACCTTGTGCGTATTTTAAACTTTAATTTCCTCTCAGGGATTAATAAAGTCTGTGTCTTTTCTTTTTCCCTTCAGAGGTACTGTGAAGTTAGATGGATCAACGAGTAACTACTGTACCTTTCTAACTGTACCAGCTCAAAAAATGCCCTGTTCTTTTTCCGCAAAGACCTCTCCCAGGAACTTGAACCTCATCTACTTGTGGAATATATTATAGGGGTGGAAAAAGTGAATGGTTTTACAACCTGACAACGTAAATTCCATACCTCCATTTTCTGTACCCCACAGGGTAGGGTAGGGTAGGGTAGGGTGGGGTGGGGGGGAGGATCGGGGAGTCTGGCGTCTATCCCAGAGGCTATGGGTGCATGGTGAGGAACAACCTAAGATGGGGCACCAACCTATCATTAGGCACAGTCACATATCTACAGATAATTTCATTACTCCGATTAACCTCAGCATGTTTTTGGATTGTGGGGAGAAAACCAGAGAACACAGAAAGCCCATGATGACATGAGAGGAACATGCAAACTCCACACACATGGAGATCTGCTCCCAGACGTGTGAGGCAAGACAGCTAGACATTGTGCTGCTGCACCAGTCCAATATAAACTGATATTTTAAAAAACAGCACATGAGGGTGACAGGGAGATGTCTTTGTAAGGGAAGCACGGTGACATGGTAAGGAAGTCGTCTGTGGTGAAGACAGTAAGGGGGGGGGGGGGGGAAGTGAGAATTAAAGTTCACAAAGTGCTGTAAAGTTGCGGAGAAATTGACAGGGTGCAGAGGAGCAAAAGTCTGCAATGAAGATCTTGCAAGGGCTTTAAATAGTATGCAGATAGTATGGATGACCAGAGAAACAATTCTCTGAAAAATGATCACGCCTGACTTGCACATTGCTGTCTGACCCCACACAACAGTCATTCCTTCACTAGACCATTCACATATGAAAAAAAATTCTACTACAGTTACCTTTCGTCAATCCCGAAATGCTGTCTCGAGCCATTTTTATAGGTTCATGCAACAGGCGAGTTCAGAGACAAGAGTGTGCAAGTCCTGCAGGGTGCACCGACCCACCAGAAGACAGAGTGAAAACTTCAGCGATGTCGCTTTATTTAATGGCTAAAATATGGAAAGCAATATCACTGCTTTCTACAGGTATAGAATACGTGCCCTTTGTTCTTGGACAATTTTTACTGTAAGATGAATCATTTCTACTTTTGTAATTACCAGAGGTGCTGCAGCAGTTGTTCTGAAAAATTTCCCGTAATAATTCTATAAATGCTTGCCAGACAGACCATGATCTTTGATGACAAGTAATAGAAGCTAAAACCCAGCCTGGTAGGTAGGATTGGGAGGGCAGGACAACCTCCCATCTGCAGGAGAAATGTGCCAGATGCAAAGCATCATAGAGTGTATCACCAATAGCCAGCCTGACTCTCATAATCCCGGGTAATCTGAACACTCCAGTGCAGCCAGAATGAGAAACACTACATGTTACACCGAACCATCACACAAGTCTTGATTGTTATTCACCTTAAGTTATTAAGAAATCTGGAAGTTCTCCCTGGACTCATTCCAAACCTTTAAACATACACAGATCAAATGATTTCCATGTAATCACTGCCATACTCTGTTACTGGAAAGGGATTTCGTAAGATTAACTCCTATAAATGACCTAAGAGCAGATCTGAAAATAGCTACTGAAAGCCCAGCAGCAGCTTGAGTGACCAGCTGCACAAGGCCCACATAAACATTCCATGCAAAGCACTCAAACACAAATTATATTAATGCTGTTTTTCTGTGGGGTGGATGGGGTTCAACGGCCAGCAGTTATCTTAGGGAGGACAGTCTAGTGACTCAAATTATAAGGTCTTGGGGTGAGTCTACAGTGAACGGCATGGGACGTATCTACATACACAGAATGATTTATTTGGTAGAGGTTTTTTTTGAGAAACCAAGGTCAGACAATCCCTGGAGCAATTTGGGGGATAAGAGTCTTTCGGCACTGCCTAACAGTGAAATCCCACTTCTGACCCCGAGATTTCCAGTCACTAGCATAGCACCCTAACCCCTAGGCCACACACCACCCCAACTAGAACAGAAAGGGGAAATATACAGGGTTCTTTGACCTATGAATAAGGCAGAGGCAGGTTACCATGGCAACAGTGTGGCCTGTTTTATTTAAAAAAATTTTTTTAACTATTACCACCAACGTAAAAAAAAGACAACTGCTTTTGTTTTGGTTCCTCGAGGGGGAAGCCTTCGAAAATGTCATAACGAAGGAGAAGCTGCGGGCAAGTAAAGGGCAACTGAACCCCACGACAATACTCGACAACAAAAGGTCTACCCAGTAAGACACAGGCTTCCTTTCGCTTTTACCTTCCCTTTTTCATTTCTCAACAACAGAAAGGGCCTTCACAGAGTATTTTCTTTGTGTTGCGACATCTTGATCCATTTTTTGCCATCAACTGACTTGAAATTCCTCACGACAAAACAAAAAACAGGGATTTTTGCAAGTTTATTAAAAAAATAAAATAAAATAAATAAATGAATCTTCTGTGACCAGGACAAATTGTATATTCAGATCAGAAGGGCCTTAGTCAGGACAGTGACCAAGAAGCCATAGCCAATCTAAATCAGTTCAGTGATGCTCCTCATCCAATCGGACAGAGCTTGAGAGGATCTGCAAGGGAGAATGGTAGAGGCACACCCAATGAGACTTACAGCTCTAATTACTAGTACAGGTGACCGTACACAACACTGAAAGCATAACGGGAGCGTTCCAATTTTCATTTTCAGTAAATTTGCAATGATCCCAAGAAACGTGTTTCTGTTTTGTCATTATGGATTGTTGTGTTAACTAATTATAAAGCAATCAATTTTGAAATAAGTCTATTAAAAATATTGGAAAAGAGGAAGGTGCCTCTACAGGTGTTGAGGTAAGGCACTGTACAGGTGATCTCATTATGTTTTAAAACACAACACTTCCATTCTGTGTGCTATGCATAATTACTTTATGCTGAAGTCATAGCCAAAAATAATATTCAAACTAGAAATTATGTAACTATACTACCAACGTCGTCAACAGGAAATTAAACAAATTACATGCCCTCCCCAAAGCCTTACCAGTTCTGGTTCAGGCAGCACCTTGTCTAGGCTGCTGCGCAGATCTAAGCTGCTTGGCAGACGAGCTGCAACAGGAGCCGATCTGGACCATCCCGACAAACAGTGCTGTGGACAGAAAGTAACAGGAGGCTATTCCCGCTGTGTTAATCTTATATCCTTCAAGTCTTACAAAGCCAGACAGAGACTCTCTTAACCGGACAAGTGCATTCATCCGAAACAAAGCCCAAAAGGTTCCGTAAGGTGAAATTACTTTCTGTAGGCAAAAGTAAAAATTGTTTTTCATACATTTGCTAGACTGAGGGAAGAATTTTATGAGATAGTTGTATGAAAGTGTGCTGCAGGTATCTCAGCAAAGACTTTCACAATACATGACTCAAGGTTTGCAGTATAGTGCTATCCAGTGCTGTGTTTCCAGGAATTCTGCGGGAGGCTGGCCCTGGAAGGGTAAAGGCCTGCTTACTGAGGACAGGCCTAGGGTGTTGGATGGGTCGAAGCTGTTCCGGTGATGAGCTCTTTGCCGATGTGCTGGGAGCAACACAGCACAGGGAACACTGACCCTACCAAAAGACATGAGAAATATCACATTTGAGACGAATCCATATCAGTGGAAGATTTTAAACCACAACCAAACCAAAAATGAAATTAAATAACAATATTTAAGCCCCCTATTTCTCAGTATCCACATCATCCTGCATGAACCTTAAATGCACCCTGCTCACCCCCATATAAGGCTCAAATTTCATTATGTGGAAATGAACTGATGGATTGATAAATATTTCACACTTATTCCACTTAAACCTGTAAACTCATACCAACAGATGACTGTTCATGATTGTGAAAGTACTAGAATCATACACTATGTAGACAAAGGTATTAGGACACCTGGCATTTACACCTAAAGGAACTTCTATGAATCTAAAATGCTCCAAAACACTCTTCTGGATAAATGGGTAAAAATTCCAACACATTCACTCGAAAATCTAGTGGAAAGCCTCCCCAGAAGAGTGACAGCTGTTATAGCTACAAAAGGGGAAACCGATTCCATATTGACACCGATGGATTCAGAATAGGATGTCATAAAACATAAGAACATAAGAACATAAGAAATATACAAATGAGAGGAGGCCATTCGGCCCATCGAGCTCGCTTGGGGAGAACTTAACTAATAGCTCAGAGTTGTTAAAATCTTATCTAGCTCTGATTTAAAGGAACCCAAGGATTCAGCTTGCACTACGTTATCAGGAAGACTATTCCATACTCTGACTACACGCTGTGTAAAGAAGTGCTTCCTTAAATCCAGTTTGAAATGTTCTCCCGCTAATTTCCACCTATGGCCACGAGTTCTTGTATTTGAACTAATGCTGAAGTAACTATTCGGTTGAACAGCATCCAAACCTGTTAGAAACTTATAGACCTGGATCATGTCCCCCCTCAGTCTCCTTTGCTTGAGGCTGAACAGATTTAGCTCAAATAACCTTTCCTCGTATGACATTCCTCTAAGACCAGGAATCATTCTTGTGGCCCTACGCTGCACCTTTTCTAAGGCCGCTATGTCCTTTTCAAGATATGGTAACCAAACCTGTACACAATATTCTAGGTGAGGTCTCACCAAGGAATTGTATAATCTTAGCATTACCTCCCTTGACTTAAACTCCACACACCTGGAGATATACCCCAACATCCTATTGGCCTTTTTTATTGCTTCCCCGCACTGGCGAGAATGAGACATGGAAGCATCAACATACACACCAAGGTCTTTCTCATAATCAGCTACCTTTATTTCAGTAGGTCCCATAAAATACCTGTACTTTATATTTCTGCTCCCTACATGGAGTACCTTACATTTGTCTATGTTAAATTTCATCTGCCAGGTGTCAGCCCAGTCACTAATTAAATTAAGATCCCGCTGTAGCTGCTGAGCCGCTAGTTCAGTAGTTCAGTAAGTTCCTGTATGCATAATGACAAATTGTGTTAATACAGTGGTACCTCAGAATTCGAACTTAATCCGTTCAGAACTCTGGATCGAATCGTAAAAAGTTCGAGTTCTGATCAAATCTTCCCCATTAGAAATAATGGAAAACCAATTAATTGGTTCCTGGCCCCAAAAAATTACACCTAAATATGTTTTTTTTTAGCATTTAAACACAAAATGAACCACGCCCCCTCATTAACCCCATGTAGAATCCCCGTGTGATCAGCTGTTTCTGGTTGTTGTTATTAGTCCTCTGTATTTCGTCCGCATTTCAGTTTGTTTCCCCAGTTCGGTCATTGTATTGTCCGTCTGCGTTTTGCCTGCCTTACTTGTAATTAAACCCCGTATTCCCTGATACCCTGATGTCTGCACCTTTGTCTCCATTCCTTCCCTGTTTGGCACGACAATATTATTATAATTAAATGTATTAATGGTTTATTATTAATATTAAAATAATTAATAAGAAATATTTATTTTAAATGTATTTTATTATATAATTACTGTTACTGTCTTATCATTGTCTAAATGTATTTTTAATCTCTAAATATATGTATTCAGCTAGTGTAAACATGCACGATGCTATCACAGCGAATGCGAGGCTGAAACTGAAGCTTTACCCTTTGTTTCCGCTGAGAGACGTGCCACGTGACTCATTTCCCCCCGCGTACAAGTTCTCTTAGGTCAGCGTTCAAGGTTTGACTTCTGAGATTCAGATCGAGTTCTAGGTACTTTTTTTTCTAACTGATTGGTTCGACTTTTAAGAAATTAGAGTTCTAATGAGTTCGAGAACTGAGGTACCATTGTACTTTAGTCCAATTAGTGTATGCAGCCTAATCTGTATATCATGACGGCCAAGAATGTGGAACCTGATGAAGGCTGGTTCTGCCACAGTGTGGGCGTGCTGGGATTTCGGCATCTGGCACATTGCACATGCTGCTTGGCAGTCCAAAGGTGTGGGGAAGAGACGGCTGTTAATTCTGTAGCGGAACATACCTAGAAGGGAAGAGCGGGTAGGGAAATGTGTGATGGTCCACCAAGCAAACGTCAATCATGCAACAGCAGAGTAAACAGGCAGAGAGATGAGAATGCCTTAACGGCAAACGCATGAGCATGTAGGAGAAATAACCTGAAAATACAATCCATACACGTATGCTTATCCAGCTCATACTCCATCGCCAGTTCATGCATCAGTAGTGATGGGGGCGAAATCTCATCTCGCTCCACCCTAATCGTACAAAAAAACATCCGGGAAGAGAGGCAAAGCAGAATTATCTAAGAACAGGCGGGGAGGAAACGTCTCGGAAAGGTTCACAGGAGATATCAAATTCACACTCTGCGTAAGCTGAACCCCAAAAATGCAGACTCAGACTCCGCTCCTAGAAAATTGCTTCACAACTTGACAATGATGGCCGTTTATTCTCAGTATTAGTCATTTCCAAGGTTGTGACAGCCCCAGCTGAAATGTTCTCTGCCTGCTAACCAATTCACTGCAGTCCTGGAAAAACCAGCCAGTGATCTTATAAAAGATCACGAAAGTATGACTGAAGATGCCTGATGCGTAAAGATATGTTTTGTGACTAAACTTCTAAAGCTGTTAAATGCATTTACATAGTTCATAAGAAATTAAACAGAACAAAAGCATTAATAACCATATTAAAATATCTTATTCCAATAAGAAAAACTATACGAGTGCCAAGGATGGGGAAAAACATATATAGGGCTACATACAGCTCTGGAATAAAATAAGAGACCACTGCAAAAATTATAATGTTCTCAGGTTTTATCTTTTATAGGTGCAAGTATTGAACTGAGCAGCGGTGCCTAATTAGTTTCTAAGAACTGCTGACAAAATTTCTTCTAATTTCCAAATAAACAAATATTGTTCTTTAGAGCATAACTTTAAAGGAAAATACATCAAAATAAGACAAATGATGCAGTGTTAGCATAATAATTCAAAATAGCAGAATAATTCAAAGAAAACAAATCCCCTGTTCACTATTAAAGAAAATGGAAATAATGTTTTGTCTAAAGAACGTTCAGAAATCAGTAGTTGGTGGAATAACCCCGATTTGCAATCATGCTCTCCACCAGTTGTTCACATTGCTGTTGGGTAGCTTCATACCACTCTCTCTACAAAAATTCAAACAGCTCGGCTTTGCTTGATGGTTTGTGACCATCCATCTTCCTGGTGATGTCCTTGCAGAGGTTTTCAATATAGTTCACATCTGGAGATTGGGCTGGCCAAGACAGACTCTTGATTTGGTGCTACTCCATCCAGACCTTGATTCCCCTGACTTGATTCCCAGATCATCACTGACCCTCCTCCATATTTTACAGTTGGTGCGAGACACTGTGGGTTGTGGGCTTCTCCAGGTCTCTGTCTAACCATAAAATGACCGGGTGTTGGGCAGAGCTGAAAATTGGACTATTCAGAGAAGATGACCTTACTAGAGTCCTCTACAGACCAATTCCTATGGTCTTTAGCAAACCTCAGCCTGGCTCTTCTTTGTTTCTCACTTATGAATGGCTTTCTTTCTGGCTTTGCTTGACTTCAGCCCTGCCTGTAGGAACCCGTTTCGAACTGTTCTTGCAGTGCACTTCACCCCAGTCTCAGTTTGCCACTGTGTTTGAAGGTCACTTGATGTCATGGTTCTTGAGTGACATTCGAATGAGTTTGCAGTCATCCCTCTCAGTGCTGATTCGTTTCCGCCATCTGCAAGGTTGTAACTGTGTTGTCCCCAGTGCCTGTTGCCTGACTTTGTTCTTGTGAACTGCCGGTGGAGATTTTAAGGATAGAAGCAGCCTGACATTCACTATATCCTTGCCCCAATAAAGCCAGGATTGCACCATTCCTTTCACCTGCTTTGGCATGGTCAATAGTTGTTTTTAAATTCTAGCAGTGATTTGCCATCCAACTGGTCACATTGCAAGAGGAGAGTGTTGATTACAGAAGTGGCTTTTTATACTTTTCCTCATTAAATAAGATTTGATTCAGGTGATCACCTAATCAGTACCTCAAAGCAGAGAGAGGTGTGCTTGTGTAGGAATTTAACAGACACTGGCATGGAACTGTTGTCAGACTCAGATGCCGATTTACAAATAAATTGCAGTGGTCTCATTTTTTTCCCAGAGCTGTATATTGTTCATATCTTATATATTTTGTAAACCCTGTCATTCTAGGCACCACAACACAGACAGATGCTGACAAAGTAGACTTTTGAAGAGGGTCTGGTAGAGGTTCTAACCATGTGTGTGGGCTGTGGATACACTCCTCCTTGTTAACTTGGCGGAAGTTGTGTAGCTCTGTGAAGAACTGGTCTGTGCGGTCGTCCAATGAGCTATCAGCGTCCAGCAGCCCTTGGGAGCATGGTAAACATTTCCTCAGCTGCACAATAGCTCATGACCAGAACAGAAATCACAGGCACCTTATATGGTAGGGGTTCCCAACCTTTTTATGACCACTATGGACAACACTGTGTAAAAGTGTGATTTACTAAAACTTTCAAAATAGACTGTGACTAAACAAAACATAAAAATATCTTCCTGTTCATATTATTTTAATGGATTTTTTTTTTTCTTCAATTTCAGACATTCCATTTCATGTTTGACATTTGTAATATGGGTACGCTTATTTTCATTATTTTGGAATTGGAATGCTGGGACGTGATTTTTATAGGCTTTATATTTATTACTTGATATGAGTAGTGAGAGCGCGGAATTTCGACTAATGGAATGATGTTCTGGGAATCTGTTCCCACACATCGGATGTTCTTTGAGACAACGCTTAACTAAAAAAGACAGTTAACCTGGTCCAGAGCAGACTTGTTCACTTGCCTAAGTTACCATGGTAGCTCAGCGGGGATTAATTTATGACGCATTGATGGAACGGAACTTCCACTTAAATGAGCCAGACTTGTCGAAATAAGTCAGACTTTCCCTTAATCCTGCTTTGTGGAACACCCCACTGGATCTCTAACTGGCACCAACATTGAACAAAGTGCAACATACCTGCTATCCAGTCATAGCCCAGCAAAGGTTCAGTGGATCGTCTGATCAGTGAGTTGCCATTATGCTGAAACAAGGCATAATCACATTCAATGGTTTTATTTCAATTACTTTCACAAGATGAGTAATCAGGGTTTTGCACGAAATGCTGATGAATTAAAAGTGACAAATATGGCAATTCATCTGTATGCTTGTTTTTTTTTTTTATAACCCACAGTAACAATTTGAATCACTGCATTTTCAATACTGGAAAATTTCAACAAGAAAAAGCATTCATTTCTTACTTGCCAATCCCAGTGCAAGGAACTAAAACAGGTAAACTTCCAGAAAGACTTGGAAAAGTGTTTTGGTAATGTTTCACTAGCAGCAGCAACAGTGTGGCAGTTTGTGTTTTCATGCACACACTAACCTTTGCGTGAAGATAGTTCTTTAAAAAAACCACTACAAATCAAAAAGCAAAGCTACTCAAATCTAAAAACCACTGATAACTAATCACTCTTATCAATAACATTCCTGAGAAATACCAGAGAAATTCTCTTAAAGCTGTAGCCTACACTATATGCAAATCAAAATGTGCGTAAAACCAGAAAGACACACAGACACACACACCCCACCAACTTTACAGAAAAAAACTTTGCGAAATGTTAAGCCAGAACAATACCTTTATGACACACACCTGAGGTTTGAAAACAAACAAAATAAAATAAAAAATATGCTTCATTCTATTAAAACAAAAAGACAACAGCTTTTTCAAATCAGAATAACTATAAAAGTGGCAAAACATACCAAGAAATGTGTAATATGTGACCATAAAAATACACAAAAATGCAGACATACGTTGCTAGACGCTCTGTCAGCATATACTTGTAAGCCTCAAGCCAAGTTTTTGATGACTCCCTGTGCATGTCTGCCTGCCCGTATCACAGAAAGGCTGAAGATTGAAGAGACATCAAATGGCAATCCAGGAATAAAGGTGTTATCAGCCAGAAAAACCAGTATGTGGGAGAAATCCGTCACACAGATGAAATCCATGGAATCCAGAGAGCAGGGAAAAACCAAAATGAGCACGAGGGACCACTTTAACCATGTTGAATTACACAAGGGGAAAATCTTATACACTAAGTCATCGGGGCAACACAGGATAGCTCTCACACAGACAGCTTGGCGGCATCAGTGTGTTTCCAGGGGTAAACACACTTCAGGGCAAAAAATATGGGCCAAATCCAAACTGCACAACATTACGCTTTGGGCTATTTTTTTGCCCAGGAATGTATATTATTTCATATCAGTCCGACACACATTTTTCACATAAAACACGACATTCATCCACATCTTACGATACAACAATTATTCCCCTCCAGCACTCAATCTTCCAACAGGACTGCAGATCAGTCAGGGCAAAGTGTAGAAGGGGATGAAAGTTATCATTCACAGCAAACACCACATCTTAATCTCGCTACGCATTTCTCTTATGACTGCACGGGGGCGGGGGGGATGGGGAGGGGTTGGTTTCATTATTAACTTTTTGAATTGGATGAACTGATAAGGGTCATCCAGGTATACCCCATAGTGGGCTAACAGCCTAATGAGAAAACTTTGTCCCCTTAGTTGTAATGTGCAATAAACAATTAAATGCAAATTATATGCAAATGAAATTAGAGTAAGAATGCACCATCAAGTGGCAGGATTGAGAACTGCTTGTGACTACAGGGCATCTCACCTGGTCTACTCCCACGCTTCGAAAATCGAGTCCTGATGTCATGGCTTCAGATTTCTTTTCTCTTCCTAAGTCTATATTTCTCTCGTCCTGCAGAAGATTGTGGTGCGGAGAGCCCCCCTCGCGCTGGCTGGGGGCCCTCAAAGGAACGATATCTTTGCCCAGGGTGGAAATCTCTGAAACATCTGAACAACAGTATATTTATGTATTATAAACTGACGGCATTATTTATCAATGATGCAAAATCAACGACCTACCTTGGGCTTTCTTGTGGCTGGCCGCTGGCGGATGGTCTTCGTCAAGTGTCTTGGGTTTGCTTAATGAGGTTCGGGCTAGACCATGTCGCCCACCGATCTCAGTAACCACTGACCCTACTGGAGAGGCGCTACTGTGACGGCTACTGTCAGCCGGCCTACGCTGTATCTCGCCGGATCCCAGGCAATCTGGATCTGTCGCTACGGCCGTCAAACACTGCAGTCTCATCCTTTGCTCTCGCAGCCTCACTAACAGCTGCTTGTTACGCTCTCGCAGATCATCTAAGTCCTCAAAAGAGGACATACTGGTTCTGCGCTTTGGGTCAAACCGCTGTTACTATTATTATACACAAAACAAACATTTAAACCAATCATCCGTCATCATAACGTGTAGCCAGTAAGAACAACACCCTTAAAGAAAACGGGCAAGCAAAAAACACATCAAACAACCTATTCTGATTTAAAAGTAAGTCCTGTCAAACGGTTACCGAGGCAAGGAAATAAACCAAAACTTAGATTGGTTTCCATAGAGACTGTATGTATAAAGACTGGCGACTAGTTCTGCACGTCTGAGAAACAATATATGTTCTATGTTAGCTGGTTTCACTTTTTGGAGTTTCAACATTAAATTCACCCACCTAACCACTACTTTATGGAATACGATAACAGTACTTCAATTTCGCTCCGTTAAAGGACAAACGGGAAGAATTATTTACTGCCTTTTCCCAATAGGATAGAAACTCCTTACCCACAATGCCCGCGTATTCCGGTCACGTGGCATATGTGACGTCGAGGGCTAGCGTGTATTACTACAAGTAGTGTGTAACTGCTACTTGGAGGCAGTAATAAAAAAAACAAAAAACAAAAAAATAAAAAATAAAAATTTGGAGGCAGTAATCCTGTGAGTACCTTGCATATTACAGCTGTCTCTTGAACGCTTATCATGGGCAAGGTTGCAGGGAAAGTGTGGGAGGATTAAACTTTTCTCGAACTGTCGTCTTTATTAAGAACCAGAATAGTGACAGCACCTTTAAACTAGCACTTTTTTGTTTTATGTATTTTTAGAGATTAGTCACGGTTTTAAAAATAGTTGGAATGAATAATGCGTTGCTATTTAAAGTATTGTTGATATCACCACAGACACAAAGTGTATATAAATGGAATTTCCTCGATTACAGAACATGCAAAACATAGGTACCTGTATTAATAATTTGTAGATTTATTACGTTTCATATGTTTGTTTTCATTTTAATGAAGCGACAATAGTATTCGAAGGTGCACGGTATATGTCACCAATTAATGAGCATTGAGACGACTATCTGTATATGTATTTTAATATTTTAAATAAGGCCACTTAAAATTAATAAATTGTTTTACATGGCCGCCCGCCTCAATTTTTTGGTGCCGCCTCGATTTTTTTTTATATTTTATATTTTTCAAAAAATCCGTTTTTTTCACCTCAAAAAATCCGTTTTTTTCACCTCAAAAACTGTGGGTGAAAAATCTTGAATGTCAGCCTCGGATGTTTCAATTTGACGCTTCTCGGACAATGGTTTTTATCGTTTGTCAGATTGTGTGTGGGCCCACGGTATTAAAATCTTGGCAGGGCATCAATATACCGAGTAATATTACCCTTCGCGAGCTGTTTGAGAACTTTTATAGTTTTAGTATTTCTCTGTTGCCGTTCGTCTTTTCGCTAAAAATATAAAATCCCCTACTCACCAATATTTTAGAAGTTTGAGTCATGTAAAACAATTTATTAATTTCAAGTGGCCTAATGTAATTACAGATCTTGCTAGACACTTAATTTTGTAAACAGTGACTATAGTGGGTGTGCTGATTAAAGGCTATATATATATTACAGTACCTTCTGCTGAGCAATCTAGATAAGCGGAGATGCAGTTGAATCCAGTATTCCGGGTAGTTGTTTGCATTAACCGTTTCCAGTGTCTTCCTTGAATAATTACCTTCACCGTGGTGTAGTTAAACATAATCCCTTAGTAATAAATAAAGCCAACAGCATCAATCATTCCTTGTCTTTCCACATAATGACTCTCCTACTGGTATGACATTATAAACTATTCACATTAGTTAACACAAGCCTACCACAACCATTATCAACAACGAAGTTAGAGGTTAATGTTACAGGCGGCAGACGTACAGTACGTACATTACTCATACGTTTTAACACATCCTTCCTGATGCAGTGCATAAACAGCGATCAGTTACTTTGGTGTAAAAGAATCTTGATCGTGGTACCATTAGTTCCATTTTAATCTTGGGATCGATCCATATGTTAATAGTAAATATACCAGCTGTCATGATCCATCCACGCGTTTTCCATACCTACTTGTTCAAAAGACGGCCACACTGAACATGAAACATATATCAGGAACCAGGGTACGCAAGGCAGGGAACATCCTGTACAGAACATTGAATTATAGTATACGCAAATGTGTGCATAATTAGACAGCTCCTTTTACATACACCTCAGTCATTTGGACTACGCAATCAAATCTACATGAACATAGGGCCAACATGAAAAAACCGTACATTAAGCCAGTAATTATAGGATAAGACCCGATTTTTGCTTGTATGAAGACATGGCGCTACCCAAGGCTGTCAAGATGCGATGAAATAAATTTGAAGTTTCTTATTGTATTGAGTTTCACATACACAAGATGGCGACATCTGCACTGCTGTTCTCAAGGCTTATCGTAACTACAACATTTCAGGCAGGCTTTGTTTTAAATGCACTAAAAGAAGTAAATTAGGAAGAAAAAAAAACATTCACACAACGATTAATAAAGTGCTTTTATATTTTCATATGCATTATCTTGCAAATTATGCTACAGAATTAGTATTAGTTTGAATAAGACAAAGTGTGGGTCAACTAAGGACTAGGCAAATGTGAAAAACATAACTGAAATGTTTTATTTGCCATTTGCACAAGTACATTGGAATGCTCCTTTTTACATAAGGCCATCTTTACTCTCTTTTGTGATATAAACACACTTTCAAACACACTTGAGAGCAGAGCTTGGTGTCTGAGTGCAGAAATCAGGCCAATTATCTGGTGCACCTGGAGCTTTTTTTTTTGGGGGGGGGTGGTTAAGGACTTTGCTCAAGGGCCCAGCAGGGATGTGACATATTCTGCTGAGGACAGGACTGAAGTATGCTAAGTCAAATACTGCCCTCCCCAACTGAAGTATACTGAATGTATACAAAATGCATTCCTGGGGGAGGCGAAAATCAATCTTATTCGTTCTACTCTTATATAAGGAGTGGTCATGTGATTTGTAACAACAGCAAGTAGAAGAGGCTGTTTATGAAACTATGTTTCATAATTTCTCATAAAATACCACGTGTAAATACATATATGCTTTTGCTGGTCTTTAATTGCCCATCATGGTGTTTTCATAAACCTTTCTTGACAAACATCTTGTCAAAAGCTGTATTGTAGGAGATATTTTTGATTCTATATAATGTTAATTACATTTTGAAAATCTGGCCTTAAATGCTACTAATGCATATTAGTGGATATACAGATGCCCAATCACCTAACTACATACAAGCAATAGGTGGGCTATAGGTGGAAACTGGAAACTGGAGTACCTGGACAGAACCCCCAGAACACGAGGAGAACATGCAAACTGCTGTAGGTAAATCAAAATGTGTATTAAGAACATTTTAGGAACTGGTCACCATAAGATCTATAGCTATACAAATTTGATGAGCAACCTATTTATTTATTTTTTTATGTTAATTATTCCAAAGACTCAAACTAATTTAAACACATCAGATTCCTGAATCTCCTGCCAGATCCCTTTGCAGAACTTTTTTCTTGATATGTTGAAAATTTTTCCCAAGAAACAGGCCTTGTTTACAATTTCCAAAAAGTTGCACTCCCTGAAAGTGGAAAATGCTGGATGCTGGAAAGTGGATATTATACTTTACTGTCTCGGACATGTCAGTTCAGTAAATGATCTGAATTTCTTATAGACTATTTCCCTGAATTGGCAGGGAGTTGGAGTCACTTGAACAGATTAGGCCTAATGCATCAAGAAGTTGTCTTTATTAATCAACAAACACCAAAGATTAGTTTTAGGCATGACATACTTGGGGACCTTCCTAACACGAAATTGTGAATTTATTCAACTCAAATGATTAATGTATTATACATGTATTGCAAAATTTGCACTTGAGATAAGAACTTGCAATGCTGTTTGGTATGATAATAGGTTGACAAAGGAATGTGATAATTGTATCATTTTCTGTAAATGGTCAACACAAAACAACCATATTTTACTGTATTTGCTGACATCCTCAAGGAACGCACTGAGCATGTGCAAGCTTTGTTTCCTACAGTGGAAACTAAACTACAGATAGACTCCATCTTCAAAAACGATGCTACAAGAGATGTCACACCTCCGGGAAGCATTTGACATGGGGTGGGATGCTGGGACCAGCAGGAAATGGCTGGGCGCTGGGGTGGCACCGGTATCGAGTGGCAAAGCAGTCAGCAGCTGGGGCGATAAAAGGTGGCGCGGAGGGTCGATGGAGCCCCGCTGTTGGCTCGATAGCACGGGGGGTGATTAAGATAAGGCAGAGATTAGGGTAGGCTGGGGGATGGGGGGTGTAGACTAAGGTCTCACTAATCGACCAATTGGTAGCAGTACAGATGGAGTGGCGGTCAGATGGTACAATAGCAAAGAAGGAGAGAGACAGAGGTGAGTATGGGGTATTTCAGGGGACAGGTCATTGGTGTGTCCTGGCGTATTTAGCAGAACGCACCTATTCTGTACTAAATTTAGTCTCCCAAGACTGTATGTTTTTACAGGTGTGCTTGTGTATGTGTTCATTGTATTGTAAAGACGGCCGTGACACTGTAACAATCAGCCAGTATGACAATGGCACCTCCTCGTCTTCCCTTTACCTTCCATGCATCGTCGTCTCGTAAGTGGTGCTCTTTGAGGACCTTCTCAAAAATATGACGGTGCTTCTCCTTAGTGGGCTTATTCTCTGGACGAATAAAAACTAGTAACAAGCAGAAAAATGGTACCTGTTTGCTTTGCTGACTGGCTGAATTTCCATGGTACAATGGAATCAGAAAAGTATATATGCAGCTTCTTTATAGTTGGAGACTGTTCATGGTCAGCATACTCTTCTTCCATCCTTAAATCTAATAAATATTTTCTGTGCTTTTTATATTGTCAAGTATATCAAGATGATCCAAAAAACAGATACAGAATGTGAGAAGAGTAATAATACAAAGAATATTTAAGGTGGAAATATGTAAATCCCATTACATGTGTGTCCATGACATTGGCTAATGATATTCCGAAAACCACCTAGAGGTAATTAATCCACACTGTTTATGTACAACATAATTTATAATGTTAATCCATTTATATAGCTGGATACTCAACTAGTACCATCCAGATAAAGAAGCACTGTTTCATAGGATACAACAACAGGTTCACCCACTATGTCACCTGCTGGAGATGCATATAGGTGTGCGTCTCATTTGCGTCGACCATATATAGTTATTTGTGGGCTGCAACTGGGCCGGACCTCAGCCTCACGCAGGTATGGACCTTTACGAGAGTGGTTGAGCATTTCTGAGGGGAAATGTGTGTACGGCAGTTTTATGAATCCGAATTTTTCTGTGCCGACGCATCTTTATTTTCGTGAGTATGTTTTTTTATTTTTTTTTCCCACCACGATGAAATTAACACAGTTTAATAAATTAGGTCCCTGGTAATCAGGGAGTCAAGTTAGGTCACGTCAAAGCTAGCAGT